CTTTCACGTATACGTGAAAGCCAAGCTGATCCGAACTTCCAAGATGAAGTGTGTTATATATAGGCTCCCACACGTTCTGTACTCATCATTTTGGCCTGCATGCTTTCGAGTCTCACAAAATTTTGCGTACAGATTGTAGTTTGCCATCTACGTCCTGAGCAGTGGATTGCTGCTCCTGCAATCTCCTGCACACTTCTGCTTGCGTTGGCTCGTTCAACACTGTAGCTTGCAAGTGCGAAAGTTAGAGCTCAGACGCAGACCCTGTGGGGGACGATTATGCATAAATGCTCTGCGTGGGTGTGATTGGGATCTTATAGTTCGTGGTCCCATCATTTATGGCATTTTGGGAACAGTAACTTATAGGCCACCCCCTATTCTCATGTACATATATAAGCGTAAAAATACCCAATTATACAGGAATTTATTCTAGATCCATATACAGGTTTGCAGGGATCTCAGATTTCTCGGTGTTAAAGACCGCACAGTTGCTCAAACCCCACAACCCCACGAACCTTCGACTTCCACTGCTTCCTTACAAATGCATAGATACTGGATGGCCCTCGGAAGCAGTTCCTAGTTCTTGTGCCAGGCCCCCAAACACCCCGGAGCAAACCTTGCTTTGCGCTGCAACATGGGAAATCATAACGGAAACCTACAACAGCGAGCCCTTATATACTTCATAGTCTGGAGACACAACATTTCTATCGCACAAGGTTCGATGTCAAGTTGAAACCCATGACCCCATAATAAGAACGAAATGCGTATATAGGGATCTTTCAATTCTGGTATATGCTCACGGAGATCTTATATATTCTACAATCATAGTACCCTATATATGTACACGTGTACAATCGAAGCGTATAGTTTTGATGCCCCAACCTGTAACCCTTGAACAAACCCATCCAGGCTACAATTAGCCAGCTCAACATCCGAGGTGCGTCGAAAGCGTTGGTCTTGGCTGTCGCGCGCAGCCTTTCATGAGCCACATGAAGAAGAAGATGAAGAAAGTCAAGGTGGAAGACTAAGCAAGTGCAGTTGGAGCATCCCATAAACTAGATTGAACAACGGTGTGTATATATATATGTATTAATTAAGGACCTTCAGGAAACAAAACCAACATCAAGAATGCCCCCCCCCCCAGTCTTTATTATACAGCTTTCTAGCAAAAAATCCTTGACAGCAATTGCACACTACCCAGCTAAGTGACTCCTCATGTATCGTGTTTATACAAGTTTAAAACCCTATAGATATATATGAGTCTGCAAATCTCCAACCTCATTTCAACCCTGAAGACTTGCACGCATGTATGGGTATAAGTTTGCTTAAAGTGGGGAGCGCAGGGGGCGAACATCAACAAAATCGTTGGCTCCTTATACCTCTATGTATGTATATATAGATGATCGTGTACCCATTTCCCTCAATTAATGTTGCCCAACTACACTTGTGCAACTCAGACAGATCGATCTGTATGATCTTTCGCGCGCCTGTGGTTTCAATCCGACTCACCTTTCAACAATTTGCTGCTTATAACGGACGTGGTAGCTGCACGGTTTTTTTTCAAAGACCATGTGGCCCCTGCGCTTGCCTGGATAGTGTTGCTACTGGCTCTGCCTGAAGCAGAGAATACGCTTGACAAGACGTTTCCAATACGCGTGTAGTTTTTGGAGGTTGTGGTTTCTTGCTACGGGGGTTATAAAGTTGGAATCTTCTTATATCCTGGATAATTTAATGCTGGGGCCCGTCAGCTTTTTCACCACGTGCCGCGATTTGCAGCCTGTGCAATTAGGATTTCGCGGGTCCAAAGCTGTTGCTATATAGACCCTTTTACGCGTGTATGTATGTGCATACATGTGCCGCTGTTCATAGACTTTGCAGGTGGAATTGCATGCCAGTGGAATCTGCCAGCAACAGCTTGGAGCCTATACCTCGAGCCCTGCTAGCTTGGTTTATTGGCTTCTGTACGTAGCCAATTTCACTTAGGGTTTTGCCTGATGCTTGTTGTGTTGGGAGGCATGGTTGGGGTTATTTGCAAATCTATACATCTATAAGATACAACAAATTGAGCAGTTGGCCGCAGTTTTCCGAGCTATATAGGACTTTAGTTGCATGGTTCTACAAAAAGCTATGGCTTGAAATCCCATACTTTCTCTATGGGTATTGTATGTATCTTATATACAACTTATAATATATACCGTTTCCATGTACATTCTCTGCCGAAATAATTCTACAATTCCTACACTGAATCAATTGTTTTTTGCAGACGAGTTGCAAAGTCCTTCGGGTTCATCGAACTTTTCCCTCACCTAAGTGATTATCAAGAGTTTTGGAAGTGGGTGTGATTTACGTTTGTGCTATAGAACACTTGCGGTCTATATAGGAATATATATGGGGTTTTCGAATACATTTCACCCGCAAACATAACATCCTATATATATACCTGTCTACAAACCCCAAACCCCAAACCTTATAAAACCCACAAACCTAGAAACCCAACCCTATATATGAACTCTGTATATATAATCTTCATATATGTTGAAGCCCCCAAACCCTATAATACCATGAACCCTATATAAATCCTGTGTAACCCCAGACCCACCTAGTAGGCAGGCCCCAAACCTAAATCTGCGGGTTTAAGGCCATGTTTTTTTTCGGGTTTACAGGGAAACATAGGCTTTGGAAATGTTATAAGGTTAATAAAGCTGCTCTAGACTGAAGATCTCTCACCTTTATAAGCCTATATATGTATGTATGTATGTATGTATACCAACCCAAATCCTATAGCTACCAGGATCCCGTTTATACTATACAGTTATATATAGCCCCAAAGTCTATATATACCCTGAGATTATGTAATGAAGACTCGAACCCCAAAATTTGCTGGTATATAGTTTGTGTTGGGGTTATAATTGGCCTGGATAAACCCTCTTGCAACACCTAGCTCGGCTACGTCAGGGCGTCGACTACACATGCACATTTTTTCAGCTGAGAGGCGCTGATGAGCTGAGCTGATTTGCCAACTTGCCAGTCCAAAGGACTGCATCCGGAAGCAGTCTCGAGGGTATACAGGACACTATAGGAGGACTGGGTTTAAGTATAAATAAATAAACAGGTATACAGATATCTATATGTATATGCAAGGGTTTATATAGGGTTTCGGATTTATACCATAACCTCCCTATATAATAAACCCTATATATATAAGCCTTATAGAGAATATAGAAAATTGACCGTGGAAACTCCGTAGACCCCATGCAAACCCTATGACTCCTGTAAACCCTATAAACTTATATATAATAAGCCCTATGAACCGTTTTGCGTTAAAACTTGAATCTTTGCAGCGCGGACTTTGCATGGGACAAATACACCTGAAGTTGACAGCTTGGGTTGCACATAAATTTATCAAAATCCATCGCATTGGGCACTGTCCACAATGGTATTCGGCCAGGTGGGGTTTGAAGAATTAAAGACTGTCAGCTTCAGAATTGAGCTCCCTACCTTCCCCCGTGTTCCCTTACAAACACCTTATATGCACTCTGTTGTTAGCTTGATTCGAAGGCCTCATGTACCCCAGATGCGCTGTCTGAAGTCAATAGTTTTTGCTGCTAGGTACCCATATTGACTTCCTAGCCCACCGCTACACCTTATATCATTAGATAGGCACCGTACATATATATATATATATGTATGTATATATAGAACCTCCAAGGCACATGATACGGGATGTCTCTTAGGGTACCCTTTGTTGTAAAAAGTGTTAAGCACTCGATCCATCCTGCCTGGAAGCCTGATCATTTGCATGGCTGCTTCTATAATATGAAGGAAAAACTGATAAGCATATCAAATAAGCACGTACAGCTACACAAGAAAAAATGTAGGTACACCTTTCTCAACCCTTTATAATGATGTAACAACCCTAGACAAATCATTGGACAAAGGCTAACAAGCTCGAAGCCTCCTGAGTGGAAATGTAACGTTGTGTATAAATTCGTATAGACTGCAGGTACATACTCCGAATTCCGCTTTTCTGGCTGCTATAGATGTTTAGCGCATTCGAGCAGCTTCGACGCCAGTTCTGGAACAGGCAATCCCGCACAGATGCATATCGACGAAGCCTCAAGAATCTGCAGGCTGAGTAGATGTGGCTGCTTACGAGTGCGTGTGATTCCTACACTCTCTCCGTGGTGCGTCCAAAACAAGTCTGAAGAATGAGCGTTCGCCGAATGATGAATGCGTTTGGGCCATGCATGTACAAATTGCCTACGATGTGCTGATCCTACGCAAAGGAAATTTCCCCATACAAGCTCAGTACATGTGCATGCGGGCAAGATTGCGGATCATGTTCTAAAAGCAACACGCGTGTACTGTTGCGCCTGTCAAGATCTCAACTTGAAAGTGGTTCCGTGCTGATGCATGCTGGCCAGGTACTGGGCAGCCTCGGCAGCCTCCAGAAATTACGCCAATCCTTGAGCAGCACTTGGCTGACATTGCGGATGGGGCAAGGTTTCCAAATTACAGGGGTTTTTATATGTATATATATATATGAAGGGTCTGAATACAGGGACCACTGAAACAAGCTCGTAGCGGGACTTTCCACTGTAGTGTATATGTGTGTCATATGTATCGGACCCTTAAAACTCCCCGTAACAAAAAGAACCACATTGGAGAGTCAGTCTTTCTGGTAAGTTTGTTTTGTAAATACGTAAAGAAACTTTTTTCCATGCACCTGCTCGGTTCATGCATCCCAGCTAGTTTATAGGGTGTATATATAGATATAGGGTTTACTGGGGTATATATAGGGTGTATATATATATGTTTATTATACAAAAGGTCTATAAGTGTATATATATATAGGTTTATAAAGGTTGAGAGTTTATATAGGTTGTATACGGGGCGATATAGAGGGTTTTCAAGAGGTTAGGGATAGATATATAAATATACATGTCGATCTTGTCCTTGCATGCAAGGCTCCTGCGATATCACTGGTGAGGCATGAAGTTGCAATGCAGGAACAGAATGGTGTTGCGGCTACACAACTACAACTTGGTGCTCAACCGAACCTGTCCGAGAAGAATGCCAGTAGACACGTCTCACGGCTTGCGCACACATTCAAGATCACTTTGAGCATCCCTGTTTCTGAACATATTCACACAGAGCAGGGAACCACGACCAGGCTTCCTTACCTGAAGCCGGCGAATGTGTTGGGCAAGCTATTGATGGACCACCCTTACATGTTGCTTGGAGGCTTTCGGCCTGGAGCAGATTCCGAAACGTTGCTGACAACATTTTGGGAGAACTACAAGCTTGAGCAGCCCTCCCACAAAGTTTATGCATCGCCGAGCCGCAGACTGAAAAGAACCATTCCCATTTACCTGCATGGAGATGGCGGGCGTACTCAAAAAAAACAACCATTGGAGGTTCTGAGCATGGAGCCTGTGCTGGGCCTCAACACTAGCCAGGGTGCGGAAGAGACATGTCGCTGCTCAGTGCCTGTGGCTTTTGGTTCGAACAACTTGGAAAACCCGATTGCGCAGAAACTCAACAGCAAGAACAATTCGTTTCTTACAAAGTTCTTGATCTTCGCGTTCCCGTCCAAAAAGTACAAGCGACAGCCGAATCTCTTGATCTCTTTACATGAAGCTGCGTCAAAGAATCTTGCAGAGGTTTGCAAACACGGCCTCATGGCGAAAGGCGAGCGCTTTTATGCGGCCATCCTGGGATACAAGGCTGACTTTGAGTACCACGCCAAGTTTGGTTCTTTGGAAAGATCGTACATGCACGCAGGCCGTACTCAGCAGTTGGGTGTATGCCATGAATGCTGGGCTGGGACGCCTGACATTCCCTTCGAAGATCCCTCAACAAGAGCGCTATGGACCGACACGGTTTGTGCCAGTTTCCCATGGAAGGAAACCCCGCCCTTCAAACACATACCTTTTGAAGCATGGGAATCTTTGCCTTCGCGGGCGCCACAATTTTATCGCCGAGACCCGTTCCATGTTTTTCGCTTGGGAACCCTGACTGCATACTGTTAGTATTCTGTTGTCAAGTTGCTATGGTTGACGCAAGTTGCAAATTCGAACTTACGTATATAGCAACCTGCATTGTAAATGTGTCGTTTTCGTGGCTTTTATCATGTAGGCAAGTACATACGCAAACCACAAATTAACGGCGCGTTTCAAATGCTCGAAGTCAGAAAGCTATAGGTATGTAGGCTTGCAAGATTCAAGTAAGGTGCAAATTGTAACATAATATGATCGAAGTTTATAAGCACCTGCCGTGTACACCTTCTCAGGGTTCATGCAAAGCTGTGTACAGGGTATATAGCATAACATATGTGTATATATATATGGGTTGCCTATATAGTTTGGGCAGGCATGTAACGAGACCCGAGAGTTTGTATACGTATATGTATATATATATATGTATGTGCATAAATACATACGAACTCGTATAATAATGGGTGCATGTTTATACATACTGCAGGGTTTAAAGGGGTATATATATATATGTATGTGTATATATAAATATGCACATGTATAATATTAACGGGTCTATGATATATACACGGCTTATATAGAATTTTTAGCGTCCAGGGCTCATACAAGAATATATATGTATACACACAAAAAGTACAAGCAAATGTTTTATATTATAAAATTTAAGGGTGTATAGATGGGGTACAGGCTTTGATCGATCTTTGCGTATGCGAGGCATTTTATTGTTCTATAATACTATATATATATATATATATATTATAAGGTCAATTAATGACCCAAAATATTGTACAGGCTACAATGCAGTCATTATTTTCTTGACAAATGGGTGGAAGTAAAACTCGGAAAGTTTTCAAGCTTCTTCAAAGACATTCTCCTAAAGAAAAGGATTTCTTTAAGCACATGAAACTTCGAGGTGTCAGCTGTTGCTTGTAAGATATAGACCACTATACAAGTGTAATGTTGTATTGCAAGCCTCGTACAAACTGATAAATGCTGGTTCTGTTTGGCCACCACAGGCGTAGCCCGAAACTACGCAGCCTCGGTCATTCTGTTGCTGGCGCACTTCGAACTCTTCGATTATGGGGATGCTTCTGAGTCGAAGTCCGTGGAGTCAAGACTGGACCGGGCGTGGAATAACTTGATGCTCTACTGCGAATCTGAACGCTTGCATCTGGGCACTCTACGTTCGTTCTCTAAGGACAAATTACATTACGGAAGTGGATTCACATTTCCCTATCTCGGATGCAAAGGAGCTGACAGCGTAATCATTCTGAAGTGGCTTCTCTTCTACACAGGCTTGGTTTTAATGTCAGTGGAGGAATCAGACCCAATGAAACACACCCTGGAAGTCATCCAACAAGGTCTTCGCGGAGGCCTGAATTTTACACAAGGTATTCACAAACACGCCTTGTGGCTACCACGCTCATGCATCAAACATTTGAAAGGTGGTCTGCATGATTTTTGCTATGCGTATGGATTCCTGGCACACTTTGCGCTGCGCCACAACCTCCATTTGTTTGGGCAAGTGCCTAAGATACATGCCTTGGCGCGCTTCAAGGTGGAGATGTTTCAAGCTATGGCTAACAAGTCCCGAAGGTGGATGCTCAACCCAGCATCTACGGATTGCAGTCAAAACGAAGACTTCATTGGAAGAGTAGCAAAGATAAGCCGACGAATCTCCTACAAGAACAATCGGCATCAGTTTGAACGCACTCTCCTACAGCGGTATCAGATGAAGGCCAAAATGGTCATTAAGCAGTTCAAGAGCAAGCACCAGCTGTGACAAATGGTTGTGGGAGCTATATAGTTTGTGTGCTAAGATGCCCCTTGTGAAGTATATACCGCGTATGGGGGAAATCTTTACAAACATACATGTTGGGAAACCCATATATATATATATAGGTCTTGTAGCTTAAATATAGACATATATACCAAGATTTCCTCCATCCGTGGTATATATCTATATGATAAGAGGTATGGAAACGCTGAGGCTGGGGTCGGTGTTTTCGGGCGCCTCTATTTGCGCGTGCTTGTTTGTCAGAGGTGATTCTTAATCGACCTTCGGATCGATGTTACTCTTTTCATGGGGATATGAATGCAGTACATTTGTGATTCGAGAGGAGGGAAATCAGTTCAGAACGTATATAGGATGCTGAGCTCATCATCATATATGAGCCCCGGACTGAATTGTGTTACAACAGCAGAGATATACAAATAAATATATATCCAAAAACCCAGAACCAAGGGACTATATGCAGATATATGGGGGCATGTATATACATATATATGATTTAGTCCGGGGCTCATATATGGTGCTGTAGAGGTTGCTCTACAAGGCCTGCCGAGAATCACAACCAAAGAGTTTGCTTTGATTACTTAGTAGCTTGGGCCCTTATAAGACCTGTAAAATTCATGACCATTGCATGCGCAACCCAAAATTTGATCGATTGTATCGCAGCTCTGTACAGTACACGTTTTGCAATTGAGTCATTCAATCAAAACCCCAAATCCGACCTGAAGTACACATTATGAAGCCAAGCATCATGGACGTACTTGCGCACCACCAGGGCAGAAGAATCCCTTTGCGAAGCCCTATTGAACACTACAAATCCTCGCGGCGAGCTCTGTGACAATGGAACCTGAAATGGATTTAGCAAACCCCTACATACACATCCTATGGACCCCATGTGAACCCATACAGCTATCCTTGTTTGAATACGCATGTTTCTGAGTGGGCACAAGCTGTTGCCTTGCATGGTGACTTGGCCTGTATATACACGTACTTATGTTACGTCAAAGGAAATTTTGGGGCATCTACATGGAGAGCTATATAAGGACCTTCTATTTTCGATGTTTGGGGTTTTAGGTTTATAGAGGCTACAAGGTGCTTGTAACCCCGTGTCAAGGGCTTCTATAAGAGCTTCTATATAGAAGTACATACATGTAGAACTTATAGACACATAGGGTGTATTGGGTGGCATACATAGCATACATAGGGTAGAGCAGGCAAGTATAAACTGCAGGAGGCATATAGAGCATTTAATGGGGCTCCCTACACGCAAGGCTCTGAATGTGGGTTTTTAGGCAAGGCAGCGGTTTTGGTCTTGGGGTGGAAGGCGTTTCTTGTAAGTGGCAGGCGTTTCTATTTGCTGCAGGCGGAAATTATTGACTTCCAGGGGGCAGGCGAAAATTTGGAAACAGCGGAGGGTGTAGGTATACCCTAAACCATAACCCTATACCCTAAACCCTGAACCGTATACCCTAAACCCTGTACCCTAAATCCTAAACCCTAAACCCTGTTCCCTAAACCCTTTCCCTAAGCCCACTTTAACGTAGTAGACAGTGGCCCACGCCGTAGATTACCAAGCATCAAGCCGACCCTCCCCAAAGTAACGTGGACCCCAACCGAGGGTTTGGGGCTTAGAGTTTAGGGTTGGGGTGTAGGGCTTAGGGCTTCGGGTTTAGGGTTTGTGGTCTAGGGTTTAGGGGTTTAGGGCATAGGGTTTAGGATTTGGAGTTTAGGGGGACGCTGGTCTCGATGAGGACCCCGTTGCCACTCCACGCCGCTTGGGCCGCTTGGGGAGACATTGAAGTCTCTGCTGTAGTCTCCACACTTCATGTAAGTAAGATTGCAAATCTATGTCTAGGCCCTCAGCCTAAGCCCTATAAACCCTGACTCTAAACCCCAAACCCTGAACCCTAAAGCCTACACCCTGACCCTCTTTAGGCTTGCCAGCCCCTGTAGGGGCTTAGGGGTTTGGGAGCTTAGGATTCATTTTTTGGAGAGTCTAGGGCCAGTTTAGGGTTTGGGGGTATAGGATTAAGGGTTGAGGGTCATGGCAATATTTTGTTACCCAAAACCCGAATGGCAAACCGAATGGAAAAGAGAATGCGCACTGGGGTTGTACAGGGGGCTTATCCTGTTAATGAGGGGATTGGGGTAACTTCCATAATATGAGTCAGGACCCTCTTTGTATGCACTTAACGATAGTTCCCCAACACATATTACAGCTACAATTTCCTGTAGCCAAACTGTCCAATATGCTTGGGCAACTTCCACCTGATTAAACCCTGTAAACCCTATAAACCCTCAACCTTAAACCCTAAATCCTAAACCCTGTTCCACCAACACTCGCCGGCATCGCTGCTTTGAGGGTGTGGATAGCTTCTTGAAACTGTGAAGGCAAGGACCTTGACTGTCATACGGTGGATACTCAGGGTTGAGGGCTTAGGGTACCAGGGTTAGGGTTGGGGGCTTCGCGTCGAGGATTTAGGGGTTGGGGCTTTAGGGTGTGGATACCCAGGGTTGAGAGTGTAGTTGAGAAGTTAGCATAGGGGTTGGAAGTTTAGTTTAGGGTTCTGGGTATTGAAGGCTTAGGGCATGTAATATCAACAGTCAAGGCTGTAGGGATTTGTGGCTTCAGGGGCTTCGCAGGCTTCATTTAGGGGGCTGTAAACATTTATGACTTAAGAACGCTATAGCAATTATAGTAGTGTAAACGGAGGCCATGAAGAATAACATGGCTTTCTATTGTCAAGGGCTTCTAAATTAGCCCTCAACCCCAACCCGATTGCAGGGCTTAGGGTTCAGGGTTTAGGGCAGGGGGTTGCGCGTTAACAGCTTTGGGCTTAGCGCTGCGGGTGAAGATTGTGAAGATGTAGCTGACCTTCTTACAGCTCTAGTCTATGTCCACGGGTATACACTAGTTACCCATGGACGTATATGCGGGCTGGCTACAGACACCGTAAAACCCTGAACTTGAAGCCTTTAACCCAGAATAACCTAGCTTCAGGAGGCCTATAATCCCACATGACCCCGCTTACAGACACCCATTGACCTCCAAGCAGTGTGTAGATGATAGGGCGTGCTCGGGAAAGCACTATTGAGCTCTTGGGTTGTTACAGGGTTTAGGGCTGTGGGTTGCAGCATGTCCTAAGTAAGCGCTTAGCTTGTTACAGCTGCAGCTAATGTTCCTATATAGGGGTCCGATAAAGAAATCCATGAGCCTCCAAGTACACCCTTAACGCTCTCCATGCAGCTATATGGTAAAGACTTGGGCCCTAAAGTCATGATATGGAAACCCCTTTTGGCCCTAAGTATACATTATATGAAACATAGTCTAAAATCCTAAGCATCCCCCTTAATAAGCCCAAAAGTAGTACGCTATAGAATCCCCTATATGGTAGTTTCCCTAAATGAGGGTACCCCAATATAAACCCCCCCAAATAGTATAATCCTTATCATGGAGACCCCAAAAAGGTACCTCTAATTTTGGAAAACCCTCATATATCCCCACCCTAAACCCTAAACCCTAAACCCTATATATCCCCTATGGAGCCTTTGGGCCCCAAAGACGCCAAGTCGGTGTTGGAGACGGCTAAGTGTGTAGAAAGGCTTGGCATCAGGGGTAAGCATGCAGCAAGCACGCGTAAACTAGGGCTTAGGGTTTAGGGTCTAGGGTTTAGGGTCCAGGGCTT